GTAGCAGTTGTGTATGTGTGTGTGTGTACACGTGTGTATGTGTGTGAGTGCATGCATGTGTAGATGCCAGTACTAGAGCTTGAACTCAGTGCCTGGGAAATGTCTCTTATCCCTTTCACTCGAGGATAGTGCTCTACCACTTGAGCTACAGCTCTACTTCCAGCTTTTGTTTTTGTTTTTGGTGGTTAACTGGAGATAAGAATGTCACAGACTTTCCTAACCAGGCTGGCTTTGAACCACAATCTCAGGAGGTCACAGCCTCCTGAATGGATTACAGGTACCTGGTACAACTTTTTTTTTTTTTTTACATTGTGAAAATACCACATAGAGGGGTTACAATTATACCTGGTACAACTTTTAATACGTGCTGATATTTAAGAGGCCCTGCTCTAGGACAGATGTTTTCAAACTCTGACATGCATTAAAACCTCCTTGCTGGCTACAGTGGTAGGTGCCATTTCCAGAACTTTCAATAGGTCTTGAGAGGGTTGAGAGGGACCTCTTAGGGAGCAAATCCCCATGTGGTGCTAACCTTGCTGGTCCTGGGACCACATCTGAGAACCACTGCTGTAAAGGATATCTCTTAGTCAACAGAGGGGATTTTAGCTATGAGGAGGTCTTGATCAAGTACAAGGGAAATACTATAGCAGGAGATACAAATATGGGGGGGGGGACACTACCCAATGAGCCAAGGCTGGAACACGCCCCACCACAAGGACCACGGCCACTCCAGGGGACCTCATGCCTTTCTTGGCGCATAAGCCACACAACTATTTGGCAGGAACTCACGTGAAGGAAAAAGCTGATTCTGTTCTTGGTAATATCTTCTCTTCTTCAAAGCAAAACGATTTGAAATTCAATTTCACATTAGTTCAATGTTTAAAGTGATGCTCTTAAAAATAGCATTGTAATTCCTATCAAATCCTGTGCAGGACACGGGAGTGGAGGGGGGGGGGAGGGGAGGGGGGATGGGATTCTGCCAGTATGGATGGGAGAAAGGACGGCACCCCTGAAACCTGAGCTTTTCACCAGATTCCTCCCGCCATGCTGACAGAGGCCAGCTCGACTCCAGTGAGAACAATATGTAACGACTGAACACTAACAAAAACTACCAAACAAAAGAAACAAGCCCATTTATCTACGGCCTGCTTTCTCCATTTTCATCTAGAACATCATGGTCTGTTCACTTGCATTTTGACCAATTACTGAGACAGAAAGAGGTGGGCTAAAAGTTGATTGGACCACAATGATACCCTTAGTTCCTTGAAATACTCCTTCTGTGTGTCACTATGATTGCTGAAATCATGTTATTATAACATAATATTAGAAGACTCAGGGGTCAACCAGAATTGTATGATGCAGTAACCCAACTGTGCACTAGGAATTCCTAAAGCTGTGCAACGTCTGACCTTAAGAACTATTTCTTTTAGCATCTTGAAATAGGCAATGTCTAATTTTTAATTAATTGACTGGATAATGACTTCGGTCAATTTCTTTCTTCTCTCATCACCCCCCACCCCTCCACAGTTCCTACATCATTAAACAACTTCACCTTCTCCAGAACAGGTTTGTCTTTGGAAGTACTTTCTAATACTTTAAAAAGCATTTTGTGTTTTTTATTAGCTTACATGTATTGTTTTAAATCAACCACTTTCATGGAAGCTATTACTGGCTTTCCCTTCCTCTTTTTCTTCCTGGAGCTCAGGACTTTGCATCTGCCAGGCAGGCAATCTACCTCACTCAGAGCCCATTTCTTTTTGTTTTTCAAATAGGCCCTGGGCTTTCTGCCTAGTCCAGCCTGGATCTCCTACTTGCATTTCCTGCAGAGCTGTGATGACAGATACATGCCACCATACCCAGCTTTTTCCTAGTTGAGCTAGAAGTCTCTCAAAACTTTTTTGTCTAGACTGGCTGTCAGCTTCAATTCTCCTAATATCTGTCTCCTGCCCTGGTAGCAGTAGCTCACATCCATAATCCTAACTACTTGGGAGGTTGAGATCTAAGGATGGGGTTTCAAAGAAGTCCAGGCGATTCTCGTCGTCAGTGAACCACCAAAAATCCAGAAGTGAAGCTGTTGCTCAAACAGTAGAGTGTGAGCAAAAAAGCACAGAGACAGTGCTTAGACCCCAAGTTCAAGTTCTAATACCAGCAGATGAATGCATACATGTGTGTGAGCATGTACACACACACACATACACACACATACACTCACACATACAAAACCACTATCATGTCATTTGGAGCATTCTGGATTTCAGCACACGAAGGTCAAAGGTGGCTGTAGCAATGGAAAGAAGGTTATGTATGAAAGGTTGTTGGGGTCTCAGAGGAAGAGCTGGGGTATCAGTTATGAGCCACCACCTCTCACCTTTACTGGCTTTTCTTACTGAACAGGATTCAAAATGTTCTCTACTTCATTGATACCCCTGAGCATCCATCTATCTGTCCGTCATCTATTCATCTATCTATCCATTTAGAATTGGGATACATTTGTAATATGTGGTAATTTCATTATATTTCCATGCACAGGGTCCTTTGAGTCCCATCATTGAAGCCCCCTGTCAGGTGAGTACAGTATAGGAGAAAGGGAAATTCTTAGGCTAACACTGTGCCCAAAGCCCCTCATCTTTCTGAACACTCAGAGGACTGAGCATTTGAGTCTTGTTTCAAGACAGGTGTGGGCCAGAGTGGGCATGAAACTGTTCCCTCCCTCCCCGCCCCCCCCTCCCCTCCAAGTCTCCGTGCTAGTTCTGCTCCAAGGGCTCCAGGAGAAACTGCACGGGGACATCCAGTCTTCTGGAGACAGATGGGGATGACAGGCCTCAATCATCTCCAGAGGAGGCTAAGCTCATGATCAGATTTCCTTGAGCAACCACACAGGAAATTCCCAGTGGTCAAGGTGTGGGGCTCATCATCCGTGGGTTTTCTCAGTGCGTGGGCACAGCAGGCACTCAGACCAAGGTACAAAACAGGAGTGAGGAAGACTGGTCTTCTGGGATTGGCTACAACAGTACTCTGACCTGCTTCTTCATCTGTTTCCATCATGCCTCTGTTTATCCAGTGTTGGTCGGAAGTCCTTTTGTTTCCCCACTGAGTGTTGTGGGTGGAACCCAGGGCCCTGTGAAGGCTGTGTAAATGCTCTGCCACTGAGCTATACCCCAGCTCCTACGCCTGCAGATCCTGACCACTAGGAACTCTGATCTTCTCTGAGACCCCAACAACCTTCCATATACAACCTTTTTTTCTACCACCACAACCACCTTTGACCTTTGTGTGCTGAAATCCAGAGTGCTCCAAATGACACAAAAGTGGTTTTATGTGTGTGAATGTGTGTGTGTGCGTGTGTGCGTGCGTGCTCATGCATGTGTATGCATTCATCTGCTGGTATTAGAGCTTGAACTTGGGGTCTAAGCACTGTCTCTGTGCTTTTTTGCTCACACTCTACTGTTGGAACAAGAGCTTCACTTCTGGATTTTTGGTGGTTCACTGACGATGAGAATTGCCTGGACTTTGCTGCCCAGGCTGTCTTTGAACCCCATTCTTAGATCTCAACCTCCCAAGTAGTTAGGATTATGGATGTGAGCTACGGCTACCAGGGCCTGTGCCAGGACAATGTTTTAGAAAGTCAGCGTATACAATAACTAAAGAGAGTTCCTAAAATAACGCAAGCATATAAAACCACAAGCAAAGCCTGTCATTGTCTGGGAAAGCAAAACAAATATATGAATTACTCCTAACAGTCAGACTTGGTGGGAGAGGCAGGCAGAGACAATATGATGTGTCCAGATGGAACTGTGGGGTTCTTACTTCAGCTTCCGGGGACAGAAAGACAAATCTACCCGGCAAAAGAATTAGAAACCACTGTAGAAAAAAGCATCAGTGAGACAAACCTTTGGAAGCAGTTGCTGCTGGGTTCGGTGCCTGCTACCCACTGGAAGGAGGATGGGCTCTGTGGGGTGAGGATCTTAATGATCAAAGGAAGAAGGGCTCTGTGGGGTGAGGATCTTAATAATCAGGTTACAGTAGTGTCTGTTTTCAACTTCCTATGTGATGCTGGACTCTAAGCCCCTAATACTCATTATTTACTCCTTATTTACTTATTTATTTATTTTTGTCTTGGTCCTGGGGCTTGAACTCAAGGCTTAGGCATTGTCCCTGAGCATTGTTGCTCAAGGCTGGGGCTCTACCACTTGAGGCACAGCTCCACTTCTGATGTCTGGTGGTTAGTGGAGATGAGAGTCTCATGGACTTTCCTGCCTGGGCTGGATTTGAACTAAGATCCTCAGATCTCAGCCTCCTGAGTAGTTAAGGCCACGGAGGTGAGCCACAGGCACCAGGCCATCATTTCCTCCTTACAATAGTTCTTGCCTTCATTTCACAGAGGACACTGGGACACAGAGATTAAATACCTTGCCTAAAGACACCTTGCACAAAGAGCTGAGTCTGAGTCTGTGGCGCTCGCATACCACCCTGCCAAAGAAACTTTGGAAGTGACCAGGGGACCTTCTGGGGCCACACTAACATGACCAGAGACAGCTCCTGAACCTCTTCTGAGCATGTGGGCCAGATCATTCCAAATGTTTTAATTGAAGAGGCTGCAGCAAGCTGCAGGGGAGCAGAGCCAGGTGATTTGTAGTTCTCACAGACAATTAGAAGGTCTCCCCGGTACTTGGGGAGAAGGAGAGAATGCAGATGAGTGTTGTGTTTTGTGCAGGGGTGTGATGGAATTATTCTGAGCCCCCCTGTGAAATCCAAAGTCCAGTCTATCACAAACACTTTGTAGCCCTGCATCTGCTGTTGGGGATGATGAGCACACACATGGGTAAGGACAGAGAGACAAGCCATGGAGAGAACACACCCAGCGACAACCGAGGCCCCACGAGACTAACATGGGGGGACATTCTTCCACCGAGGTAAGAATAAAGCAACACAAGCTGGAAGCCTAGGAGAGTGGGAGGCGCTAGGGGCTGGGGCTGCCTGGATGCCCCACCTGCACTCACCTGTATGTGGTTTCGGGGAGAAGGTCCCGCAGGACATGGCTGGTGGTGTTGCCCACCGTGACACTTTTGTCTCCAAGATCGATGTTGTAAGCGAGGATCTCAGAGCCGTTACTGCATGGCTCCTCCCAGTTCAGAACCAGGCACACGGAGGGTGGGTCTGGGTGGGTGGTGAGGGGCTCGTCTTCCAGGACACAGAGCGTGGAAATGGGGTCGGGGGCGGACGCTGGCGTCTGACACACAACAAGCTCACTGTACGGTCCCGCACCTGCGGGGTTGAAGGCCTGGAAAACAGGACAGCGACACTCCATTGGCACATCCTAACGCCTCCATGTAACTGGTGTATCATTCATCTATCTATCTATCTATCTATCTATCTATCTATCTATCTATCTATCTATCTATCTATCTATCTATCTATCTATCTATCTATCTACAATCCATCCATGTTCCAGCACTTAGGCTTGAACTCAGGGCCTGGAGATCTCCCTTAACTTTTCAGCTTTAGGCTGGTGCTCTACCACTGGAGCCACACCTCCATTTTCAGCTTTTTGCTAGTTTAATGGATATAAGGGTCTCTTAGATTTGTCTGCCCAAGCTGGCTTTGAACAGTGATCTTTGTATCTCACCCTCTTGAGTGGCTAGGACTACAGGTGTGAGCCATTGGTGCCTTGCTTAGTATGGTGTCTTTTTTTTTTTCCATATACAAAAAACTTGAAGGTAACTTTTTGGAAGTGAATGGAAATCTAGTTCTCATTGACCCCATTGAGACTTGATCAGGAGACGTCTAACAAACAACACTTACATATAGCTCCTTTCTTGGTTAATCTGCAAGTTATAAAAAAAAAAAGTAGGCTAGGAGAATTGGCTCCCTATCAAATCCCTGCAAAACGTTAGTAATATTTTGGGCTGGGAAGGTGGCTCAGTGGTAGAGCGCTTGCCTTGCATGCATGAGGCCCTGGGTTCGATTCCTCAGCACCACATAAGCAAACAGAAAAAAAAAGCCGGAAGTGGTGCTGTGGCTCAAGTGGTAGAGCACTAGCCTTGAGCTGAAGAGCTGAGGGACAGCGCTCAGGCCCCACAACCGGACAACCCCCCCCCACCAAAAAAAAAAAAAAACTTTAGTAATATTTAGTAGCATTGTGACAGTAGTCACATGTGACTATGACAATATTTCAACTATATCTTTTTTAAGAAATTTTATGACCTTTTTTTTTTGGTCGGTTGTGGGGCTTGAACTCTGGGCCTGGGCACTGTCCCTGGGCTCTTCAGCTCAAGGCAAGTGCTCTACCCCTTGAGCCACAGGGCCCCCTTTAAAGAAATTTTAAATCACACATTTTGGTTCTTTTTAGAAGTACTGGCTTCATGCTTGCTAGGCAGGTGCTTTACCCACTTGAGCAATGCCCACAGCTCTCTTTTTGCTTTTAGTTCTTTTTCTAGTCTCATTATTGTTTCATTTTTCATTTATCATTTCTCTTCCCTCCCGCCCTCTTCCTTCCCCCTACTCATCCAACTCCTCTTCCTCCTCTGTCTCTGTCCCTTACTTCCTTCCCAGGGGGAAAACCCGAGCAAGACAGCATTTCCCTTTGTGACCGAACTCTATAGAATTTGGACCACTTTTCACATTGGTAGAAAAGCCAGACACACTGCACAGGGAAATCTCTGTGGTCTCACCTTGTGCTCTCAGGAGTAACGTTTTATACACCACAGAACAATCACACTGAACAAGCCACGTTTGCTACACTACTGTGAAGAGCGCAAGACTCCATTCATGCCTTCCCCATTTTTTCCAGTAAGATAGTTATTTTTTCCATTCCAGGATTCTATCTGGTGGCCTACTTTCTTTAATCGGGCTTGGCTGTGTGGAAAATTCTTTCTTGATTTATGGTACTTGTAATCATCAGTGTTCAAAGGACACTTAATTTAAAAGCATCTTTTACTAAGAAAGTGGCCAGTGTAATATTCTATATGCCACTTACAAAAAAGAAGCATTGCTCTGGTACTTCTTAATTAAAATACTCCTAAGGAAGGACATAAAAATTCAAAAAAAGAAAAAAAAAAAACAACTCCTGAGCAGAACAAGACACACTTCACTAAATTTTTATAAAATACAGCACAGAAATGAGTATCAGGAAGCTGACATACAGTTTGAATGAGGGGCTAGTTGGGCACTGTGGATGAATGAAACAAGAATAGCCAACAAATACAGCAAGAATGCTCATTGTACATGTGTGATAAAGGAAGTGGGACATGAGAAATTTCTCATGTCTGTGGGGGCTAGGAGGGCTGGGGAAAATGGTAGAAGGGGAGAAAGATGGAGTAGCACTACATTTACGTCCACTTACATGGACATGTTAAATGTCTCCCTTGTGTAGCCACTTGAAGTTTGTAACCTTAAAAAAAAAAAAAAAAAGAACTAGGTGCTGGTGGCTCACGCTTGTAATCCTAGCTACTCAGAGGCTAAGATCTTAGGACCATGGTTCTAAGCCAGCCCAGGCAGGAAAATCTATGAGTCTCTTATCTCCAATAAACTCTTATCTTCAGCAGTGGAACTGCGGCTCAAGTAGTGGAGTGCTAGCCTTGGGCACAAAAGCTCAAGGACAGCACCCAGGCCCTGAGTACAAGCCCCAGAACTGGCACCCAAAAAATGAACAAAAACAAACAATAAAAAAGAGCCATGTGCCAGTTGCTCAAGCCTATAATTCTAGCTACTCAGGAGGTTGAGATGTGAGAATCTCAGTTTAAATCCAGCTCAGGCAGAAAAATCTATGAGAATCTTATCTCTAATTAACTAGCAAAAAGCTGAAACTAGAGCTGTGGCTCAAGTGGTACAGCACCAGTCTTGGAAAAAAAAAAAGTTCAGGGAGAGGACCTAAGCCCTGGGTTCAAGCCTCAATTCCAACACACACCTTCTCCCCCATCCCCCAAATCCTACAAGTGTATGTGTTAAAATGATTTAATTTTTTTAAGTGCCAGATAGTCAAAGGAATATTCAGGTTGAAGCTGACTTTGGAGTAAAGTCAGATGGGCATAATTCCTCCGTGGGCCACAGACACCGTGAGAGGGCTACAGAGCCTGTGGCGGTCCTGCTCCAGTGTGCCCGTGGCGACCTCAGAGGTACTGCCTGCTTCCATGTCCTCACACCTCTGTCACACGCTCTGACTCATTTTCTGACAATTATGGACATTTAAAAACATTTCCTATTCCTGACTGTCCATACAGAGAAACCAGATCATTCTGCATCTCTTTTAATTGCATCTTAGAAAATGCAGGCAATGCTAAGTGACACCATAACCCCAGGGGAAAAAAAAGGCAACCTTAAAGAGGCAGGAAAACTTCAAAAGCAGAGGGGAGGGAGCGCTTGCACCACGTGGCACTCTTTATCCTGACCTTATTCTCCACTGGGGAGGATGGCATACAATCCGCCCTTTCCTAGGGACTCAGCGCCACCTTTACAAAGCTCAGCTAATGTGCCACGACACACGACTAAGGGAAGGGTTAATTACGTCTCAGGTGCTCTAGCTGAGAAGAAAGGAAGGATGATGTGTAGCAAAATGGTTTAATCAGAAATGTTTCAGATAAAGCAGGCTTTCAGAATTTAACTAAAAAAAGCTTTAGTTTTTCTGGAAAATTGAATTGATGGGAGTATTTTCTCCAAAGAGGTCAGGGACATTGGGAGCACTTCTAATAAACACTCTGATCCATGACTTAAATCAGGTCAGAACCTAAATGTGGCATCTTTGCAGTCAAAGCTAGACATGTGAAGACGATCCTTCCAGGCCGACACTGGCATTTGATTAATTCATCTTTGTATATTCCTTACTGATCGTCTTTTGATTCTAATACAACGTTGTGCTCAGGAAATATTACTGAAGAAAATGGAAAGAAATGGTTCAAGAATTTGATTTTCAGTTTTTATTACAGGTTTCTAGCTGGGAGGTAGTGGTCCCTCTATGTCTGTAGTTCTAGACCCTTGGGATGGGAGGCTGGGACTTGAGGATCACCATTCAAAGCTAGGCAGGGCAGGAAGGTCCAGGAGACTCTTTTCTCCAAAGAACCATTACCAAAGCCAGAAGTGGAGGTGTGGCTCATGTAGTAGAGCACCAACCTTGTGCAAGAAAAGCCAAACAAGAATGCAAGGCCCTGAGTTCAAGTTCCAGTACTGCAAGTGCAAGCATTAAAAAGAAAACAAGCTTTCTAGCAGGAAAAAACATTTACCCAAATGCATGATATAGAGTAAACCCATGAACACTGGTGTTGGGGGTGAGGCCAGGAATCACGATTCCTGATCCCATTCTACGCATCCCCACCCCCACCCCGGGAGAAGCCTGCAGATGCCCCGCCCTGAACAGTTACGGGAGGTGGTCCTGCAACCTCAGGCCGATGGGTCCCAAACAAACCAGATATTTGTTCTCAGCTCCAATACGAGCTGGTATATGAATGGGACTTCTGTCTGCATGCCAGTTCTCTGGCTTTTGGATGCGGGGTGCACCGCGGGAGCTGCAGGGGCACTGCAGGGCCTCCCTCCCAAGGCTCCAGCTCTCCTTTCACCTGGATGCATTCATTCACACATGATCCGGCCACGTGAGGTGTAGAAGTAGAGAGGGAAGACCCCCGCAGGCTCTAACATGTTACAACTGCTCAGACAATGGAATTTGCTATATACCAGACATCAAAATGAGTTTTTTTCTTTTGTGCTAGCACTGGGGCTTGAACCCAGGGCCTGATCACAGTCCCTTAACTGTTTTTGCTCATGGCTGCCACGCTACTGCTTGAGCTATACCTCCACTTCCATATTTTTGCTGGCTAATTAGAGAGAAGAGTCTCATGGACTTTCCTGCTTGGGCTGGTGCTGAACTGTGACCTTTAGATCTCAGCCTCCTGAGTAGCTAGGATTACAGGCATAAGCCACCAGGGCCCAGCTTGCACGTGTTTTTCTTATTTCAAAGGACTCTTTCCTCCTTATACCCCTTAACATTCTTCTTTGCCCCTATTAGTTATTTCCTGAAAGAGTCTTTATGAAGACTCGCCTGCCCAAGGAATAATGAGAAACATGTCGGCCTACCTGTAGCCTGCAACAATACTGAGCGGCAGGCAGCAGGTCTCTTATCTCGAAGCAGGTGTCTGGCCCGTGATAAATGAGTTCCAGGGACTCTTCATCTTCTCCCCACTCCAACCGGTATTCTGAGATGTCTGCACCCAAGCTCTCGGGGCTCTGGGGAAAAGCGATTCAGGTAGTGAGTCATTCCACCAAGAAAATGCAGACTGTGTGCAGTTCAACTAGCTCACCTGGGTGGGAAAGGGGGAGGGGGGGGCAACAGGCCCAACGGATTTCCAATACAAATATCACAAGCAAAAAGGAAGGCATGCAAACCACACTTCAATGTGGGCGCCAGTGGCTCAGGCCTGCAATGCTAGTTACTCAGGAGGCTGAGATCTGAGGATAAGGATTCAAAGCCAGCCCAAGGTGGGAGGTCCACGAAACTCTTATTTCCAACCAAGTCACAAAAAGCCAGAAGTGGAAGAATAACTCAAGTGGTAGAGTGCCAGCCCTGAACCAAAAAAAACAAAAAAACAACCACACCCTAAGAGCCAGCACCTAGAGTTTGAACCCCAGCACCAACACACACACACACACACACACACACACACACAAGTTCATTTCCTTTTTAATGGTGGCCATTTCCATCACTCTAAAGAATGCAACCAAGTGCCAAGATTGTTATATTCAGACCAAATGAATGTCAGGCAGGCATCTTGGCTTCGTGGATCCCTCCAAACTTGTGTCTGGATGCCTATGTGTCAGTGCTTACCTCCCAGCTCACAAGGACACGGCCATCAGATGTGAAAGAAATCCCAGGTCCTTTGCACTGTCCCGGGGGCCCGGCTGCAGTGGTGATTTCGGATACATCAGAATAGGGACCATACTGGAAAGAGAAGGGCACACATGTGTGAACACATGTTGTGTGTGGGTGTGGATACAGATGATGCTAACATCACCAACAACAAAACCCACTCTCCTGAGGCCCAGTGCTGTGGCTCACCCCTGTAATCTCTGTTACTCGGTTCAAGGGCCAGCTCAGGCATAAAGTCTTGAAAAACTCTCTCTCAGCCAACAGTTAGATGTGGTGGTGAGAAGCAGAAATAGGAGGAGCATGATCTAGATGGTCCAGAGCAAAAGTGTGAGACCTTCTCTCCAAATCACTAAAGCCAAAAAATAGCTGGGGGGGATGGTTCAGGTAGTAGCAAGGTGAGGTCCTGAGCTCCAACCTCAGGCCCACCACGTAATAACCTCCCCACCACCCCAATGAAGCAATGCTCCTCGCTTTTACTTGTCTGTACACTAGTGCTGTTTGCCAGGGAGTAAAAGCCTCGTACACACGTCTCATCTTTTACTCAAAAAGAGAAGAAGGTTGTGTGACTCAACTCTGATGTCGGAAAAAAATATGGCAATTTCTGACAAGAAAGGCCATCCTGCGTCCCACGCCTCAGACACATCCGAGAAAACTAAGTCTGATGCACAGCCTAAGTTAAAATTTAACTTCATAAAAGAGTGACTGGAGGGGCTGGGAAGGTGGCTCAGTGGTAGAGCGCTTGCCTTGCATGCCTGAAGCCCTGGGTTCGATTCCTCAGCACCACATAAGCAAAAAGAAAAAAGTCGCAAGTGTCGCTGTGGCTCAAGTGGTAGAGCACTCGCCTTGAGCTGAAGAGCTGAGGGATAGCACCCAGGCCCAGAGTTCAGGCACCCTGACCGGACCCCCCCCCCAAAAAAAAGCGACTAGAGCTTCAGATTTTAAAAAAATTTGCTTAATAAATTCTGGGTATTCTAGACTCTCTCTCCTCCTTTTGTGTCTTGAGACACTGTCTCCCTGGTTTGCTCAAACCTATGATTCCCTTGCCTCAGCATCCTTAGTGCTGAGATTATATAGGGATGTGCCGCCATGCTTGGCTGCTGACTGTCATTCTCTGGAAGCCAGCATTTCTGCATCTCTTTCTCCCCAGGGCCCCACCCCTCACGTCAACATGGAGAAGTGGAGGCGTGGCTCCAGTAGCAGAGTGCCAGTGCAAAGTGAAAACGCTGAGAACAGAGCCCTAGGTTCTGAGTTCAAGCCCCAGCTCAAGCACACACAGAAGCAGCTGTGTGAGAAGCCCGCATGTGGACGACAGCACGGCCCTGGCACGCACCCCTCCGTCGTTGAGCGCCCTCACTCGGAAGCGGTACACGGTCCCAGGGAGCAGGTTGCCCACGGTGCACGTGAGTTCTGGCCCGTGGTACACCTCGGAAGCCGCGTCCTCAGGCTCCGTCATCTCCACGCTGAACTCCGACACCTCGGAGCCGCTCTCGCATTCGGGCACATCTGCAAGGCAGCAGGTCATGTTTGTAAATCTTAGCATGCTCTGTGCACCATAGCGGGTTTGATTTCCTACAGCTTTTGTGAAACACCATGTATTTCTCTTACAAAAGATCTCTTCTTCCTAACAAAATGAAAAAGCCCTGAATGGTGTTCTCGGTAACCAAAGCAAGTAGATTTCCATGTGTTTAATGAACCCAAAATAACAGGAGTGCTAGCAGGGCAAACTTCTTCACGTGTCATGCAATGTAAAAGAGGAAAAATAAATCTTAACTTGGAGATCACAGTAAGTCCAGGTTCAAAGCTCCAGACTGCCATGTGACGTAGTATCTCATTACCTTTAGGCTACGTGGGGAGAATGTGCTAGTCCCACACACTGACACTTGCAATCATCAGGCCAGAAGCTTTTATTAATTTTATTTTTATTAGAACAAAGAAATAAAAAAGCAGAGATTTGATGTCACTCATTTTCCAACCTAAGAACCACAGGGTAAGAAGCAGGTGAATGTTGGAGTCCTGCAATTTATCAAGCCACTGATTAAGCTGATAAGAGATGGCATGAACTCCAATTACTCTGGCATACACTGTCCCCCCTACCTGACCATGATCCGAGTAAGGCAAGGTCTACGGATATGCCTAAGCGAGAAGCTTTGGGAACAACAGGAAAGGTTTACATGGCATCAGGAAGCACATGAGCAAAGTGTCAACAGAAGTTTCAGTAAATCATGCAGAAATACTTGTATCTACACCATCCTAAAGGAAAAGGAGAATTTTTGAATAGAAAAAGTTATAAAAGTTGGGATCTTAAATTGTAAAAAAATAATCAAAAGTTCTTTTTTTTTGGGTCCGGTCGTGGGGCCTGAACTCTGGGCCCGGGCGCTGTCCCTCAGCTCTTCAGCTCAAGGCTAGCGCTCTACCACTTGAGCTACAGTGCCACTTCTGGCTTTTTTCTTTTTTGCTTATGTGGTGCTGAGGAATCGAATCCAGGGCCTCAAGCATGCAAGGCAAGCGCTCTGCCACTAAGCCACCTTCCCAGCCAAGGATTGCATACTTTTATGGAGTAAATCTGAACGATCCTACTCCTTTGGAGTAAAACTAGTGTGTAACTAGTTTCCAACTATAGCTTTTTCTGGTCGGAATTTGAAAAAAATGAAAATCTAAGTAAAATAGGTGGAAGTTCCCTGACTATTCAGGTGAATTTAAAAAAAGAAAAGAAAGCAAGAAAAAAAAGAAAGTATCAACAGCACCACCCCGTCAGGGCGCCCCCCACGGCAGCCTGGGAAGCGTGTCTTGCTTTAAGCTCTCAGCAAAGCTGAGGAATCTAGAAAGATTCCTGAGAAAGGCAGGAGTTGGCTGGGCCCGGTGCCGATGAGGGACGGAGGGAGGGTGGGAGCCCTTGGCAGTCCAAACAGCAAGGGGAGGGAATGAGGGGATCTAGGCCCAGGTAAATGAAGGAAGTTTTGGAAGTTAATTGACAAAGCATGAATCGTCAAGTCCAGTTGCCCGCCCCTGTCCAGGTAAGGTGAAGATTCTTCACTCACCCCACTCTAAGTGGACTTCTTTGTGCTTTGGTCTCCCTGAAACCCTCGGTGGCTGACACTGGCCGGGCGCTATGCGCAGTGTGCGGACAGGGAGACTTTCGGAACACTGCAGGAGAAACAGGGGAGAGCTCTTCATAAACGCAACACAGCACACAGATCTGACCCCACACGGTGTACGGTTTGAATGTGTAGACATTATTGTATGTGCCCTGGGTAGAAGAACTTTCATGTCAGTGTGTGGATGTGTGTGTTCGTGTGTGTGTATGTGGATGTGTGTGTGCACCAGTATGAGGACTTAAACTCTAGACCTCACATTCTTGCTTGGCTTTTTCACTCAAGACTGGAACTCAACCACTGAGTCATACCTCCACTTCTGGCTTTTGCTGGTTAATTGGACATAAGAGTCTCATAGACTTTCCTGCTTGGGCTGGCTTTGACCTGCGATCCTCAGATCTTAGCCTCCTGAGTAGCTAGGATTACAGATGTGTGTGTTTTGAATGTAGACTGTCTGCAGGAGGCATACTTGAAAACAAGAATGATTACTTCTGAACTCACATCAATAGGTTTGAGTGTTGTATAACTTTAGCAAATAATTCTTCGGCTCTACATTGAACTTAGAGCCTTCATGAGGACAGAAGAGAACACAAAATGATGGCTGAGTGAACATTTAGAATGGGCCATAAATGGCTGGCCAGAGACCGAGTAGGAGAGCCAATAAATCCAGTGTTGGCCACCAGAGTGTGCTGTGGGCCAGCAGGTCCTGCTACTGCTGAGCTAAGGAAGTAGGGTCTGAAGGACCAGGCACCAGGTCAGAGGACACAGACTCTACAGATCCAGCAGTAAAGGTGTGTGCAGCGCAGCCCCTCCCACAGGAGGTACCATGATGGCTCTGTGCCTTGGTTTGGAGGTCCTCTGTCCCAGAAGGCATCCCGGAGAGCTTTGGCTCTGCCTTAGAATTTCTAACTGTCTACGGGGCAGGGCAGATAGCACAGTACCTCCTTGGGGGCCGTGGGCAGATAGGGCAAAAATAATAATAAACGTTAAAGTTGGGTTGATGGAAGAAAACCCGTTCATTTTTCAGAATGGTAGACCTTCTCCTGTGCCAGGACGCCAGTCAACATCTCCGCTTCCCTCTCTAAGTATGAAGATTTCAAACCATCACCGTTAAGTAGCATCTCTCCAAGGGATCACATCTTCTAGCAGCATGTCCCTCTCATTCAACTTCATGCCATTAGCTTATGTCCAGAGTACTCCATGTGCATTTATTAGGTTATCCTTCAGCATGTGGCTGAGAGGAAGGTTCCTGACAGGTTAACTGGCCAGACCAAGGTCACAGAGCCAAGGTCACACAGACCAAGGTAGGGCTGCTGCCCTCAGAGATTTATAGGGTCTCTAGCACTACTTGCCAGAAGAGGGCAGCAGAGGACCTTTGGGCCCTTTAACAGAATTGGCAGGTGTGCACAAGTCTTGCCTTGTTGACTCTTAAGTTCTATACTTCCTTTCAGGTCTCCTTTATTTAGTGGATGCAAATCCTAACCAATTTTCAAATGTTCCTGAAGCATAAGTAAGTGATGAGGGAACTGGTAGCCATGTTAATTCAGTTGATAATCCTTGGGGCCTATCTTTTCTTCCTCTAAAGTACAATTTGAAAGGGTCTATTTTTCACTTCCTAATGTAATACTATGGCATGACACTAGGCATGAGTGAGATAATTTCTTGTTCCTCCCTTGGTGTTATGGAATGTGAATTCAGGACTTCTCACGCTTTCCAGGCAAGTGCTCTACCACTTGAACCATAACCCCAGCCTTCTTCTGTTTTAGTTACTCTTCGGGTAGGGTCTTTCACTTTTTGCTAGCGCAGGCACTAGATCACAGTCTTCCCAATCTCTGACTGACTGGCTGGGATTACAGGCGCATGCTTGGCCCTTGAAAATACATTGTGAACCTGCAATTGTATTCTGGTATGATCGATGCAGCTTGGCCACACTTGATCAAGGAGGGTACTATTAGCTGGAGACAAACTCACCTGGCTGTGCCCACCAGTACTGATGCAGCATGCTCGGAGTTTGTACAAAGTGCCTGGTTTCAGGTGGGTGAAAACATATTCTGTAGCAGATCCACTATAGGCCACTTCCCACTGGTTGGCTGTAAGACAAGAATCATGGGTAAGTTTACGCTGCTCATAAATAAAAACCTAACACTATCAACCATTACTGACGGTCAGAAACAAGTTATAGTCTCCATGGAAACCTCCCCTCCCCTTCCCTCTCCTCCGCTTCAATGAATTCCCACAGAAAGTACGACTAGTTTGGAGATGAGAACCTTAAATTTATTTGATTCACTAGAAACTCTGCTTTAAAATGACATAGAAAAACTGCTCTCTGGAGTTCTGTGTGAAAGGCAAAGCTGCCACTATGGGATTCAAACTGGTTTTCTGTGGGACTGTGATTGCCCCATCACCGTAACAGCGCAGAGCACGTTAGAAAGCAGGCCTCGCTGTGGCCTGTGCACGGAATAGCTGCCTCTCACTCTACCTTCGAAATTGCCGTCGGTGATCTCCAGCAAATACTTGAGGATCTCAGAGCCACCGTTGTCCTTCGGCGGGTCTAGGAAGGAAGCAAATGTCTCCTGTGTCACGATTGGCTATAGAGAATCCCCCATCCCAGGTGCAACCCCAGAGCTGGGACCCCGAGAACTCACTCAGGAGGCAGGTAGCTTAAGGAGGGAGGGTCCTGCCTGTGCATAGACCCTCCCTATGACAGCTCAAAATACGGTCCGCTGATGTCTACCCGTGGGAGCTTGATGCTCTGGGCACAAAACTGCCTCAAAGCATAACTCTGTGAATGAACTCTGAGAAGTCTTGACTATCAGCTCACCGTCTCCATGCTTACACAGGGAGAGACGTTTCCCAGTGACCACACCTTTGGGAATTCACTTCCTCTCACCTCTCACCTACTATTTCCACTTGTGTATCATACTTCATAAGACAGAAGACAAGTATGAAGTCAAAGACTGTATTGTTAAATAATTTCTTAGGATTTTCTGACAAGCGCATTCTAGGTCTACCAAAAAGCACACCAGGATTTGTAATTCTGTGTGTCTTTTGTCATCCAGGGAAAGAGACATCCTCGTGATTCTATCTCAACATGATCAGGTACCTTGAGGCAGCCTCCAGAGGGGTTCCATCTCCTGTATGCCACTTGGCTGTTGGTAAGATGGTATTTTAGACTTCTCTATGTTTCCTGCTTTTGCCTTTGAGTTAATATATTATATGCCCTCAGTGAAAACCACACAGCTCTACATCCTCTGACTAGCTATCAATAATAACTAGCTGTATCTAGTTATTTGAGACAATCCAGGCTTCCTCCTCAAACTCCACATGACATTCAGCAATAGACCATCCTTAAGTTCAGGGAGGTGTCTACGCTCAAAGGTCAGGAAGACACAACTCTTCCTGTGTCACTGCAACACAAACACTGTGCATGATAAAACCAACTTGAGAGGACATGCTTAAATTTTGCAGTTCATTTTATTTTTCTTTTGTGTAATTAATTCACCTTCAATGCCAACTTTTCAATTAATTTTTGTCTATTGACATTTTAAGGGTGGTCTATTGAAGAATATTGATCCATTTCCATACCCAAATCAGGAATATTTTGAGGAAAATATGTAATTCAGGAAAACTATGAAATAAATAAATGAGATTTTTAAACTTTAAGAATCCATTAAGTTATAAAATTTAGCAACACATTAAAATCTCATTGTGCTGGGCACCAATGGCTCATGCCTGTAATCCTAGCTACTGAGGATCACGGTTCAAAGCCAACCTGGGCAGGAAAGTCCGTGAAACTCTTATCTCCAATAAACCACCAGAAAACTGGAAGTGGCACTGTAGCTAAAGTGGTAGAGCACTTGCCTTGTGCTGAAGAACGCAGGGACAGGGCCCAAGCCCAGAGTTCAAGCCCCATGACCGACAAAAAGAAAAAAGAAAAAAAAAGAAAAGAAAATCTCATTGTTTCTTGCTTATTTATTTATTTGGTGCCAGTCCTGGGACTTGAACTCAGGGTCTAGGTGCTGTCCTTGAGCTTTTCTGCTTAAAGCTAGTGCTCTATCACGTGAACCGAGACCAGGAGCTTCATGGACTTTCCTGCCCTAGGTAGTTTTGAACTGTGATCCTCAGATCTGTCTCCTGAGCAGCTAGAATTACAAGCAAGACCCACCAGTGCCTGGCTTGCCTTTTTTTTTTTTTTAAATTAGCATATGTTAATCATACAGAGAGGTTTCACTGTGATAGTTTTTATATCCCTATAAATAGCATATTGATCAAATTCAGCCTATTACTCTATCTATCCCTCTTCTTCATTTTAGAATACAACCCAGGCGAGTATCTATTCTAATTAGGAGGGCTTCTCACCTGTATGCTCCAAATGCGCCCTATGCTCACAAATCAGCGTTTGGTATTATTATTACCAGTATGCCACTATTGAAACCAATGCATTCCGTACCCCACTTGACACTGAAGCCGTGAGCTGTCACCGGGCCCTTGATGAGGGGTCTGGTCGGGGGCCCCGGCCGGTCAGGGCTGGTTGTACAAACGAGCACTTCACTTGGGCAGCTTTTCCCTTCCATGTTTGAAGCAGTCAGCTGGAAGACAACCGAGAATTCACTCAAGATGATGTTCTATAAAATTAACTCGTTGTTCCATTTTAAGGGGTTTCAATTCGACATGTTAGTGTATGTGTACAAGTCTTGTTCAGTGTTACCCCTTCCATCCATTGCTCTCCCCATCTCTCATCCCCACCCCTCCTCTCAAGTTACCTGGTTCCATTTTCAAATAGATACCTGGAATTTTCTCACTCATTTGCCCATCCTTTCTCTCTGTGTGTCTGCCCCAACTCCCTATGACACCATCCTCAGTGACACACGTTCTAGCCTCCTGGTATTCATCTTGTAAAAGCATAAGTTAGTTGTTCATAGCAGTTGTACCACCCGGGGGGTGTCCCTTCCTTTAGTTAATTTATGTATATGTATGTATGGCCCTGTACACACTTTCACAATTTATGTCTAGCTTTCATATATAAGAGAAAACATGCACCATTTGTCTCTCTGAGCTTGACTTTATTTCACTTAACAATTATTTCCAGGTTCATCCATTTTCCTGCAAATGACATATATTATTCTTCCTAATGATTAAAATTCCATTGTATGAATATCACACACACACACTATTTTCTTGATCCACTCATCCACCATAATGCACATGACTTTTTAACACTGCAAGATCAAGGTCCTCAGAAACCCAGAGTGAAATACATACACAGTCACACAGTTTCTACCTCTAAAGTCAAGTATTAATTTAATAGTCCTTATTCGTGACCACTTATGGTCTGTATATTCTGGTAAACATTAAACATTTTAGTAAACACTAAAGATAAAATCATAGGTAGTTTTTAGGTGAATGTATTTGTGTCTTCTGAAGAAGACATAGAAAAAAAAATCAGTACATTATTAACTACATCCTATTGTATAATGGAAGGAAAAACAAGGTGGGAAAACCTGGTAAGATGATGCAATTTATTTAGGAGTAGGACAGTGCCATCTTGTGGACAAAGGAAGGAATTTTTGGTAGCAAATCGTTCTTTCCGTGGGATAATTTGACAAAAGATTTACCGAGTGACTACTAGAAACCAAATTAAACCACTTGGCTCTACATGAGAGGCACAGGTACACTCTCACCGGGCTTGCTATTTCCAGCCAGGCCACCTGGCTGTGCTGTTATGCAATATACATTAGGACAATTTTCAGTCTCAATAGTACAGTTTAAAATTAAAATGGGGGATGTCTATTAAAATACCAATGCTAGTTTGAACATGGAAGAGGCCACAAATGTGAACTTTTATTTTTTTTAACCAGGATGCTTCTTTTGAAATGATAAACAGTAATATTACTACTACTACTAATAACTACTACTACTACTACTACTACTACTACTACTTTAGGTAACCAAAGTGATCAACTCACCCTGAATTTATACTGTGTGCTTCTTTTGAGATTTTTCACAGTACAGGTTAAATCCTCTCCAGTGTATTTTGGGTGGAAATGGTTATCCTGAGAAGGAAAAGCCAGAAAGAAACATCAGCATCACCGACTCTGGGCATGGTCTATAGAACTCACATGTAGCCTCCTCCTACTCTAGGCAGGGGGACAAATCTGGCAGAGCTTCAGAGAGTATCAGAAGCCCCAGGTGCCACACACAGCACTGGAGATTCAGGTATGTTTCAGCAGGCACTGGCGCGTATGCTTGTAATCCTAGCTACTCAGGATGCTGAGATCTGAGGATCATGGTTCAAACCCAGCCCAGGCACAAGGATCTGTGAGATGCTTATCTCCAATTAACCACCGAAAAGCCAGAAATGGAGGTGAGGTTCAAGTGAATGAAAAAGCCAAACAAAAATGCAATTACCTAGAGTTCAATCTACAGTCCTATCTCCAAAAATAAGCAAAACAAATCATTTTATTATATTGTCATTTCCCCTGGCTCTGGCCAACTTCATTGTTTCAAAGCAGTAAATACTTGAAAACAATTATTTAATAATGTATTTATCACAAATAAAAAGCTTCTTGTACTGTGATCTTCCCAAAAGGGCATCTCAGGTTACTGGGTACAACAGTGCCCTCTTCTGACCAAGAGAGAAACAGTAGTTTAGATGGGAAGGATAAACCTCCCTCAAGAGAGTTCATTTACTTTCTATCAAGCATCTATTCATTCATCAAATACTGCGGCACAACTTCTGGGCACCAGGTTCTTATCTGTGTTTTTGAGATATGATTCAGCCTGGCTCAATCAGCACACGCGCGCGCACACACACACACACACACACACGCACACAAACACATGCACACATACACACAGCTGACCTAGAGGGCCATCAAAAGCACCCCACCCCACCTGACTCCCCCACAAAGTCTGTGGTTTAGGACACAAGCTAAGGCTGGGTAAAAAGCAGACAGGACAGCGAGGTGCTGCTTTCCACTGTGGCGTGACTTAAACACGGCAGCCATGTGTGACTCTTCACACTCAAATTTAATAGGGTGAACACTGCAGCTCCTTAGGTCTGTGGATACATTTCAAGTGCCTGGTGCCACTTGTGGTAGGTGTGACTGGACAGCACTCTCCCACAGAGTGGCCAGGGGAGGGCTTGTCCTCAGAGGTGATGTGTGACAGGAGACCCAGGGGACAGGAGGGAGGGGAGGCAGAGGTCAAGGACACCGTGGCTGTGACCTCATCTGGACTTGGATGGGGGCCTGGCCTTTCCTCTGGAAGGGACAAAGGCAGCTCTGAGACAGGAAATAGGCCCAGCGGGGCGTGGCCACACGAAGGCATCATGTGCAGAACACACGCGGATTGGGACAGAGTGACAATGACAGGACACTGACACAACCAGGGGTGAGACAACATGGCTCAGAGACCACTACATTAGCTCTGCACATACGTTTGACTTCTAGATTCTCATTCATTATTATTTTTCTTGGTGCGGGTACTGAGGTTTGAATTCAGGGCTTGGAATTTTTGCTCGAGGCTGACACTCTACCACTTGAGCCAGACCCCCACTTTCGGCTTTTTTTTTTTTTTTGCTGGTTAATTAAGAGTCTGAGGTCAGCTTGAACCAGGACCCTCAGTTTTCAGCCTCCCGCATAGCTACGATTACCCACTAGGATTATAGGCGTGAGCTACTGGCACCTGGCTACTGAAGGATTGATTTCTTAAGAATGATTTGTGGATTTGCTGAGTAATTATATACAGAGAGAAGGATAAGTTCATGGAACTCTGTCTTCCCCAGCTACAAGGAGGGGACACCATTTACCAAGATAGGGAAGTGCAGGTTAGCCTTTGGTAGTGGTGGTAATCTGGCAAGTGGCTCTTTAGCACCTTTTTGTGAGGGCTATCATAATGCTCTTACACAGAACCTGCACGGGATGCACGATTTGTAAACCTTACGTGTTCTTCCTCTTGGATTTCCAGGGTGTAGGTAATCACTTCCTCGGGTGAACAGCCTTCTGGCTTGTTCCACTGCAACGTGACCCACGTGACGCCAGCCCGAACCAGTCTTGGAGCAGAGGGCATCTGCGGGATGTTCCCCAAGGTGTAGCACACCACCTCCTGGCTATAGCCACTGGAGAGAAATGAACACAGTGAGACACACACACACACACACACACACACACACACACACACACACACACACACACACACACACACACACACACACACACACACACACACACACACACACACACACACACACACACACACACACACACACACACACACACACACACACACGGCCGTGAAGGAGAGAAAGGGGCAGACAAGGGACCTGTGTGATATTCAATACCACGACTTTCCCTTTCCTCTATCGCCCCCTATTGTCCACTCTTAGAAAAACATACCAAGTTACTGGAGACCAATATATAGTTTCCCCTTCAAAGTTATAAGAAAGAACAGCCTAGAACCTTGTGTATCAAGCTAAAACTACCGGTCTTCAAATCAATGTGAGCACAAAGAATGGTCTAATGATCAATTCCAGTGTTTTACAAATAGATACAATGTTGTTTCTCCAAAGTGTGTGCAATCTCCAATTCATATGACCTTTTATCTAGGGAGCTCTAAAGCTATAATCATCACTGTGGCTGGGACAAGTACTTCTGTTAAATTCCAAGCAGGAAAGGGAGAGGCTCTGTAGGCCGGAGAGAAGGTAGGAGGCCGCTGCTGGCCACATCTTTAAAGGAAATGTTTCCATAAGCAGTGATAGAAGAAAACATTCCTTCATCATGAGTTGCGCAGCAAGCGTGACCCAAAGGTGGCCTTTCCACAGCCTCCACAGCACGGAGCACGGAGCCACACACCTGCTCCCCCCTCTCCTACAGCCTAAGTGGGATCAGCGACCAAGACAGCTCCGAGTCTCTCCATCCTGGGCTATCCACCCCGGGCTTGAGAACTATGGCTAGCCAGCACCCCAAGCACAACTGGAAAAGGTAACTGAATAAAGGGTTTGGAATAAAAATAAAAAGATGTAAGATCTGAAGTACTCATGCCTTTACAGGGTTCCTTTCAAAAGCTGCCTGTCTCTTTCATCTCTGTTTTCAGAGACCCCTAATGGGGTCTTCGCAGAAGGCCGCAGAAAGGCCAGAGTGACTTTATCCCTTCCACAGGTCTTTCCCAACAAAGGAGGCTTTCCTGGCAGAGAATGTGCAGCTGTGGAGGGCAGCAGGTTTCCTTATGCCTTCTGGCAATATGACAGGACATCCAGACACATGGCCTCCAAGTTGGAAGTTGAGAGAAGCCAGCATCATACCTGGTGCCGATGTCATTCCGAGCGGCTAACCGGAACGTGTAGCCCACGGCCGGGCACAGCTTGGTCAGCTTGCAGTGCTTCTGGCTCCCAAAGAAGCACTGTCGGAACCCACTGCTTCTCTTCCCCTACAAGGAAATAGGAAGACAACGCATGCAAGGTCTTTCTTCTGCCCTCAGCACCACAGGGTGAGGCTTCTTTTGCACTGTTCAGTTATCACTAGACTTGGCTCACTGATTGAGTCACTCCAAAACTGAAAGTTATCACCAATGCATCCTCCTTGCCCAAATTAATGGGTATCATTCTGATACTATGATATGCGTTCAACTCTTTGGGAAAAAAAAAAAAAACCATAGGTAAGCGAAGGAGCAATTTAAAACTAAAATTAATTTCCTAGTCCGAATGAACACAGCCAACAGAAGGAAAGTTTACATGAAAGGATCCATGTAGCACAGAAAGAACTCCGGGGTGAAATCTCATCCTTAACGTAAAGAAAGGCAGCACAGGAAGTTCCGTGCCAAGGGTCATCCACGGGTACTTGGATTTCTTTCTTTTACTTATTTGATTTTTATGGTGCTGGTCCTTGGAGCTTGAACTCAGGGCCTTACACTCTTGCTTTTTTTTTCTTTTTTCCACTCCAGGCTGGTGCACTACCACTTGAGCCACACTTCCACTTCTAGGTCCTTGCAGGTTAATTGGAGATAAGAGTCTCCCAGTCTTTTCTGCCTGGGCTGGCTTTGAACCTTGATCCTCAGATTTCAGCCCCCTGAGTAGCCAGGATTACAGGTGTGGGCTGCCAGTGCCTATCTATACTTGTAGTACGCATATAAAGCCCTTTCAGGTACAAAGTATGCTTCACTTAAGGATCACCATCTCTAAGACCCCCCTTCTTCACTTGGGTGCCCACTGCAGGGATGGCTGGCTAGGACTGTGGTCTTTCCAGGCCTTCCCATATACTGAAGACCAGCCTGGACAGCCTCGGGGACACACTGGACTTGTCTCCTCTCTCCTGCAACTGTGGCCCTGGCCATCCCCACCCCACACATCCCAGTGACGCCCAGCTGTTTGCTCACTGGTCCCTGAATACCAGAGTCCCGTATGCCTGCTTCACCTGACTCATACCCGCTTTCCTCGTGTTTTACACAAATTGAGCTCAATCAGTACTTGAAGAAATGAACTGATCCCTTACAAGCCTTCAGAACATTGACAGAACTCATTTAGATGTATTGCAGTCACTCTAAGTCTCTTATCTTTCCAAGATACTTCATATCACTTAAGAGAAAAATAAGCCCAGTACGGTATCTAAATAGATTCGCAGTAAGGACAACACATAGCTGTATTATGTAGTGCTCAGAAGGATGGTACACTCCTGTGAGCCATGTGCTAGGAGAAAATTTCCTACCCATAATCCATCACATCATATAACTTATTGCTGTGCATGCAACAGCAAATCACAGCCGACAGTGGACAGTCTTCTCACTAGTGAAACCTTGGGCCTTCAGGAATATGTTTGAAGTTCTCAGTGTATTTTATAAAGAACCAAAAGCAAACACATTTCCCCCCTTGGCACATTTGAGCATCTCTGAGCAGGTTTCCAAATGTTTATCACTAGAGCACATTCCAAGGGATGTGTAATTCAAAATAAAATACGTGGATGGAGCCAGTGTGATCATCAGACTAGGAAAAACTAGACCATAGTCCTGTTCACCATCCAATCCCATCTCCTCACGAGGAAAAGCAGAACTTTTTCCAGCAAAGGCAATGGAAGTCCTAAAGCTCATTTTGTTAGGGTTAAATATGGCTCAGTTGAGAGGTGAGTGTAAGAAAACTATGGGAACGCTGATCGAGGCCACTGTGTGCTTATTTAACCTTGAATGCCAAGGTCGATGCTGCTGATTTATTCATAGGAAAACTATTTGTGCGCAGATTTGCATGATTAGTACCTGTGTCTGATTATGCTTCACAAGACTCCTGGTGTGTTCTGCATTCATTTCAGGCCGAAGCAAGGTCTGCTGCTATTGCTCCTCTATTTCTGAACTCAGCAGAAGCTATTCTCCCTTCCAAAACCCATGCTGGCTCCTCCTCAATGCTTCCTTTTCCCTATGTCTTTGTTTCATCTTGGCAGCCCTACAGCCAAGAAATAAAGTTGGTCTTTTCTTACTAGGTTAATTGGTTTTTATACTGTACAATGCAGACTGTCTATGACCTAAATAAGAAAGAGGGGAGAGACACCAAAAGCAGGAAAGTAGACTTCTATTTTAAAAGGGTGGTACTCACTCAAGAATCCAGGAAGAGGAATTGCAGGACCTTCAAAGCATTTTCTTTACTAGCCCGTGGTGGCTCACGTCTGTAATCCTAGCTACTCAAGAGGCTGAGATCTGAGGATCACTGTTTAAAGCCAGCCAGGCAAGAAAGTCCATGAGATTCATCTCCAATTAACCACCAGAAAGCCAGAAGTGGTAGAACCATTAGCCTTGAGCAAAAAAGCTCAGGGATAGCACCCAGGCCTTGAATTCAAGCCCCAAGACGAAAACCAAACCAAACCAAACCAATTCTACTTCAGTATCCAGAATAATTGCTCCAACTAAATGCACGATGAATTACCCATCTTAACCCTTCTGAGATATACTACTATATGCCTGGAACTTAGGAACATGTAGAGAGCTCCAGAGTTATGGGAACCTTGGAATATAATTTTAGGAACAATGTCCGTAATGTTTGAGTAAGTAAGTGCAATATTTTATAAACTTAAACCTTGTGGGAAATATTTTAGAAGTCTTGAGAATAGAGCAAAAAGAATAGAAAGCAGGTTAACAAAATATCTCAGGCACAAGAAAAGATTCATGTAGGATATGGAGTTTAATCTGAAAGGGACACACAGAAAGAAAAATATATTATTACGTTGTGTGTGTGTGTGTGTGTCTTGAACTTGGGGCTTCATACTCTTGCTTGCCTTTTTTGCTCAAGGCTGGTGCTCTACTATGTGAGTTCTTTTTTTTTTTTTTTTTTTTTTGTCGGTTGTGGGGCTTGAACTCTGGGCCTGGGCGCTGTCCCTCAGCTCTTCAGCTCAAGGCGAGCGCTCTACCACTTGAGGTACAGCGCCACTTCTGGTTTTCTGGTGGTTTATTGGAGATAGGAGTCTCACGGTCTCTCCTGCCCGGGCTGGCTTTGAACCGAGACCCTCAGATCTCAGCCTCCTGAGTAGCTAGGATTACAGGTGTGAGCCACCAGCGCCCGGCTGAGTTCTAACTTTTTATTAGTTAATTGGAGGTAAGAATCACAGAATTTTTCTCCCCAAGCTGGCTTCTTACTATGATCCTTAGATTTCAGCCTCCTGAGTAGCTAGGACTAAGGCATGAGCCACCAGTTCCTGGCTGACAGACAGTATTTACAAATAAAATACTGCCCTGTTACTCTTGACAAACAGGATAGAAAAGATAGAATGCTATAGAAGATTGAAAGAGTCACATAAACTGATTGATAATGGGAAAGTTTATCACTGTTTATCAGAAACTAAATATGTCCAAGCTGTTACTGTCAGTAAAGCTTTCTGGATAGCAAATCCTTGCTTTGACATTTTACACATGTAGTGTGGCTCTAAAGCAATTTGAGAGATTATGATAGATGCCACATTCCTCCTCATAAACTATATTTTAAACCCACAGGATTACTGAGGTACTTAGCTTAACCTAGAAATCTTACATTTCAATATGTGAAATCAGCCTCGGGCCGAATTCTCTAATTGAAACGGGCACCATGCTGCCGCTTTTGAGGCCTGCTGTCACCGGTGATCTGGTCAAACACAGGTGGAGCAGGGCCAGTCGTGGCCAGGCCTCATTCTGATCAGGTACTAGTGCCAGGTCACTTGTGTGTCAGAAAGAGGAAAGGATACGCAGACTGATGCAAAGGGTGGGCACAGGATGTGGCTGGTGCCCAAGAGCAATCCCAGCAACCCCGGACTACCCACTGACACCCTGGAGGGCAGGTAGTGGGGCGTGAGAACCCCACGATGAGCTCTGGGGTTCCCCATTCTTGCAAAGAAGGAGGAACCACCTCAATTAGAAAAACCCATGAGGAGACCACAGCCCACACTTCTGGTCACTGGGAACGCCTGGCCATTAGGTTACTGACCTACTATGACATGAACTTATCTAAAGTCCGGAGTGGTTCAGGCCTAACTTTACCGGCCTAGCCTGGCAGTGAAAAAAAATGGAGGAGGGCTGACTTTCAGGGCTGACTGGCTTGTTTCCACTTCATAGTCTTGGGCATGCCCAAGCGCTTGTTTGCACAGCTCGCCCCGAGTTCACTTGAGGGCAAGGGTAATCTTTTCTAGAATGTGGAGAAATCTTGGCTTGCAAGCCAACTGCATGCAGATTAGCCTCCAGGTGTGTGATTTGGCATTGGGGAAAGCATTATGCGCCGGGCCTAGTTCACTCTCCAGGCTTGGGGGTTCCTCTTCTCACGCAGCAGAATACCCATCTTTGTTCATCTACTATCCATCCACACTGATCACCCCAGGGGAGCTATGTCCTGACCAGCACCGGGTGTCATCCTTGCCTTCTGGTCAAAACTGCTCTCCAGGAAATAAATCTCAGAATTAGCCAGGTGCTGGTAGCTCACGCCTAGAATCCTAGCTACTCAAGAAGCTGAGATCTGAGGACTGGTTCAAAGCCAGCCTGGCCAGGAAAGTCCTTGAGATGCTTATCTCCAATTACCCACCAGAAAACTGGAAGTGGTGCTTTCACTCAAAGTGGTAGAGTGCTAGCCTTGGGCCAAAGAGCTCAGGAACAGCCTCAAGGCCAAGTTCAGGCCCCATGACAGACAGACAGACACACATACAGACACACACACACCTCAGAATTGCTAGTCTTATGTTCATGACTATCAGGGCCATCCTTCCCATTTCTGATTACCTCTTTCTCTGCATTCTCACCATGTATAATCCACATGTTAGACCCCATTGGTCAGCTTATTTTCCATTCCCACATCCCTACTGTCATTGCAAGTCTATTTGTCCAGGGTTCACCTGGCCTGGGTTATGCATGTTGTGTTCCCCGGGGCCTTGTGTCACATTGGATGCACCTACTAAAGGCAATTGCCATCTCTGAGGGAGAACCCCCACCTTCAG